CGTAGAAACACACACACACACACACACACACACACACACACACACACACACACACACACACACACACACACACACACACACACACACACACACACACACAAATAACTCAGACAGCAGATGTTTGCCGGATGTCCCAACATTCAGAGCTGCTCAAAATCTTTATACTGCCTCTCGTTTTGAGGGAAAAAAACTTTGGCGGTAGTTTACACAAGATCCTTAGGGAGCTCTAAAACATGAGGATGAGGTCTGCAGACAGAACCTTAAAACTCAAAAGCATCACCTCAAACAACATAAATAACCAGAAAACATGATTATATACAGTACCTGCAGCCAATAGGACCACAGCTCTGTCTCTGAAGCATTTGTTTTTTGTAAATGTAATGCCAGGTCAGATGTCATACATTTTGTGTGTAGGCTTGGATAATGATGTTGTTTAATCATGTAGCATTTCCATGACGACAAGGGTAACTACCGCATTCCCCCCCAAAACTCTGAAAAAGACAACAAACACGTTAATCCTGCTACACTGGGTAATAGTTTAAGAGAAAAGTGACTTCACATTTCAAGGTGACTTAAGACATCAGACAAGGCCTCAAAAACACTCAAATGAACCATTCAAGGTACATTAAACAAAGATGAATCAGTACATGTGTATTTTTTGGGATATTTTTAGCGACTTTATCCGTCATATACTAAAATAAATCAGCACAACTGCTCTTTTAAAACCATTTTTAGACATTATAAATGTTATCAGTACATACAAAATCAAACCTGGGATCTGATCCATGCCAGGATGCCCAGAGTTTCTGTTTACATGTTATTAAACTCAAAGTAATACTCAGGAAGCCGACTAATATGCTTCTTCCTTAAAAAATGAATTGACTCTTTCTAGTGGTGTTTGGTTCAAAGTGTCAAGTTGATCTATTACTGTTCCATCCTTATCCAAACTCAGCACTCCGGGGGCTTTCCTCTCACATGTTTGTGAAAAACACTTGAGATATTGTTCTAATTATTAAACACATTCTCAGGTCAGTCTGGAGATGAATGTACACAAAACCTCTGCTTCAGGCAATGCACTGACACTGTAAATACCTTACAGAATGAAAGCTCCCACACCCTAATTCAAACCAATTCAAATATATGTCCAAGTTTTCAAGTATACAATACATATTTTTAAAAGTTGAACAATAATCATTTAAAAGGCAAGATCATTTCAATCTAGGCTGATGTTTTCTCAAACGTGGACATTTTTGTCTCTCTTAGAAAAAAGAAAATAATACTGATAGATTTCACTATTTTAATTTACACTATTTTATCAGCAAAAAGCTTAACGTTACAGCTCAAACTTCATTACATGTAAATGAAATATATACACATGAATATAAAAGTGTGAGTCTTATATTACTAGTGCCCTGCCTTATTCTTTAGTTGATTACATTCCTGCAGACATTTGAAGGCAACATGAGACACATTCAAACAATACCAGAATGCTACAATATTACCCTAAAATAACACTTTCATACTGTGCTCTATGATAAATGCATTCTGCCAGTTTATGTGGCTCTTTGCCTTTTTTCCCTGCTAATGTTTTATTGCTTAAATTAATAACGGCCCCAAAATGTCTGCAACACACTGATTACAATATTATTTGTCCATTGTGAAATACAAAATAATACAAACAATTAGCCATCTTATAAGAATTCCATTATTTACTACTTGATCTGCCTGCAGGCTTCTCTGTGTTGACAATGAGCTCTTTCAACAGCCTGATAACAGTTCCTTTGGCGACTTCTAATGAGCATGTGTTGAATCGCGGCACCCTGTAATTTAAATTCCTCTGGACCAGGGGCGGACTGGGACTACAAAACAGCCCGGGACTCTCGATCGGCCCACTTCGGTACCGCCGGCCCACCGTGATGCTAGTGACTTACCGCAGAGGTAGACATTAAGGGTAAAATGCCACTGGCATTATATTTTCACTGGCCCCACCATTGTAACCACTGGCCCGCAGCATTCGTCCAAAAAAAATCGACTAATAATGAATAAAATTAACACATTTGTTGCAATAGTAATGTATGCACTAACTACATTACTACAACATTTGAATCATCAGTTCTTCCTCATTTTCCTCAATTGTTCATATTTGGTTTATTAAAATAATGATATTTTGGTCATTGTTAAAAAATGTCTGCTATTATTATGAGTATTATTATTTGTACAATGCACTTTCTGCCTTCCTGTCATTAGGATTTAGAAATGTAATGGCTATGTAATAGATTTGATGAGAACCTTCATTATCCTAAACTGCTGGGACATTTCCCTAAAGCCAATACCTTTATATTGTCTACTCTTCACTTACTGTTCAGCATGGTCGGCATTGATGTACAGAGCCGACAGAAGACCTTGTTTATATTGGCATCATATTGAGAGGTGCAGCCAGTGACGCGTCCTAAAACCAGGAAGTAAGCTGCTGGTTCCCTCGACAAAAAAGCAATGGGATTTCTCAAAAGGGTTTTGGAAAATAGCTGGAAATAAGGTCTGTGGAAAATAAACCTGTTTGATAAATGCACGTTTTGTTCAGCCGGATAATCTCCACATGTCTACCCTACTTTTATAATGTTCGAATCATAAATCTAATCGATAGATTATAAAAGGGTTTTAGGACGCGTCACTGCACCACTAGAAGCCAACTCCATCGATCAAGCTGGCTGAAACTTTCTCTCCCTCTTCTTCTCATGCTCCCTGTCACTCTCCTTTAACTCCTCCGGTGACTTTCTTTTATTTGATGATTGTTTTTTGCCCGGGCTTGGCCGGTTACCGCTGGTATTAAAAACATATTTGGCGAGGTGGTTAGGTGGCGCGATAGTCTGATAGTGAAAGGAGTGCGCTCCCGCTCACGGGCAGGCCTGCTCGCACTGCGGCTCCGAGCAAACAGCTGTTTGCTTTTCACCCAACACTCGACAACCGGACTCACGGAAACTCTATTTTGTAGCGTTGAGTAAACAAAACAATTTCACTAAATTGCTAATCAAAATACCCAATACCACAGGACAATTCTTTAGCAATATTTTTTAGTTGCCGAGCGGGCAAGTGGAAAGTACGTTATGCTCGCCCGAGGGCGTCTAAATAGTGCTTCCGGCCAGCGGGCCATTTATAATGTCGAGGCCTGCGGTTACGGCCGCCCACATCGTCCGACCGGGCCCACTTCAGTACCGGGCCCATCGGGATTCGTCCCGAACGTCCCGATGGCCAATCCGCCCCTGCTCTGGACACAACACACTCTCACTCCATAAACGTCCAGAGCGACGCTTGGTCAGGGGTCCCGTGGCGTGCAGTTGTTGATGTCCTAGGCTCCCTTCAGCTTCATAAAGGGGGACGCAAATAGCTTTCAACTGATTGCAATGTATTCCCATCTGCGGCGGGTTTTGACGCTCCATGGAGCACGGCATCGTTTGGTGTCGGCTGCCCCTTAAAGCAATTGAGCGTCCATTCCCATTGGATAACGGAGAATTGTACACCCGGAAGTAAAGTATTCCCCTTACTGTCGATTGATTTTACAGTGAT